CCGTGAATATCGTGGTGTAATCCTCTACTGGCAAGTTAAAAATCCCCAACCGATTTGGACAACTTTGACAATATTGATAGGGTGACAGCGACATTATGATAATCATAGACAACCTGCCCTGGGGTTACATGGCTTAAACTTCCCTTGACTTTTCAACCCGGGCACGTGGACCCTTTCCGCCTTCGGACGTCGAATCCCCGTGCTTGAAGCAGGACTTCTTGGCCTCAGCCGCAAACAAGTAGTGTCGTTCTGTCGGAACTCCAACGGGTATCTTGGCTCCAGGCCTTCTGCTGGACATGGGCCTGGGTGCGACTGGCACTCAGGCTGTGCAGCCTGGCACTCAGGCTGTGCAGCCGGCATTCCAAAATTGCACACACGAACACAAGTATTTTCTTCGGCTCCCTCATTCAATGTCAAAAACCGCAAGCTCGGAAGCTCCAGACTGATCTTGGGTGCTTCTGCCGTCTCAGATCAAACGCCGGCACAGCCTCGCCTACTACTCAGCCGAATCATTCATGCTGGAGTTGTCGCTGTCAGGCTCGTCGTCCAACTCCGGGATGCAACCTTCAAATGTCCCACTCAGCCGAAAAGCCCGCTGTCATGGCCCAAGGCGCAAATCAAATGTCTGACTAAGGCGGGCACCGTCCTTGATGAGGTCCACCTTCTTCCGCTTCAGACTTCTCAGGCGGCTCATGGTGGCCGAAATCTGCCCGTCAAGCTTGGAGACCAACATCTCCTTCATGCTCTTCTCAGACCAAACCACAAGCTTCACCTCGGCCTTGAACATCCTCAGGCTTTGCATCTCGATCTGACCAGGGCTGATCCAGTAGTCCTGTGGCAAGTGGCGGAAAAAAACAACGGCCCGATACGACGAGAGTGTCTTCGTGCTGCCGGGCGGCGACAAGGGGGCAGTCAGTCAGCTGCAGCTGCTCAGGCAGCTCCTTGAAGAACATCTCATACAGCAGAACCCTTGGATCGTTGTGCGGTTCGGGCGACCGCAAGCGGCCGCAGGACCTAGACCTTAA